AAAAAAAAAAAAAAAAAAAAAAAAAAACAAAACTACTCATAGATTCTCTTTGGTTTCAGCTACAATATAGTTCAGGCGTTGACCAACTTTGGCTCATAGACCAAATCTAGTCTGCTGCCTGTTTTCGTAATAAAATTGTATTAGAACACAACCTTGCTTGTTGTGTTTATGTGTTGCTATGACTAGTCTTGCACTACAATGGCAGAGTTAAGTAATTGTGGCAAAGACTTCTTGACCCAATACACTAATAGAATATTGTTATAGAATATTTTATTCTTTGTTTATTGACCTCTGGTCTAGATTATAATGATTTTTCTGAGGAACAAGATGTCTGAGAACCAAGCATATGTTCTTCTGCCCCAGTTTGTTTTTTAAGGTTTATGTAAGTAAGTGGGAAATAAGAGTTTTTCTTTGAATCTGTTAAAAATGGGATGCCAAGACACCATCTCTAAGTGGAGATGGCAGCTATGCAATTGGAAATAATTTGAAATTCATGGGAACAATTAGTTTGGAGTTATATATACACAGATGATATTTATCACTGATGCATGGTCAACTAAAAAGATGATGTAGAAAGTCAAGTGAAGACCTACACTCAAGTCCTGGAACATTCTATAAATTAAAGGTGGTCAGGAAGGGCTAGGGGTATAACTCAGTGGCATGGTGCCTGCCTGGGAAGCATGAGGTCCTGACTTCGATTCCAGGTACCAAAAGAAAAAAAAAAAGGTGGGACCTAAAAAAAAACCTACAAAGAATGGCCAATAGGATAATAAAAAAAAAGCCAGGAGAACATCACTGAAGCAAGAAAAAAGAAGTATTTCAAAGAAGCAAGAATTGTCAGGTATGAGATGCTGCTAAGAGATTGCTGAGGGGGAAGAAATGGCTGTTAAATTTGGAGACATCATAGTCCTTGGTGACATTAACAGCAGCTATAACAAAGTATTGGGCACAGAAGCCTAGTAGCATGTGGAAGAGAAGTAGAAATAAAAAAAACAGGTTATTAGGGACATTTCTTTAGATAAGTTTCGATATAAAGGGCGAAGAGATATGAGACCTTATTAGAGAGGAGTATAATATCAAAGGTAGGTGTTTGTGAAGATGGGAGAGTCTAAAGTTTGTTTGTATGCTAATGGAAATGATCCAGTAAAGTAGGAAAAGCTAATGATGTTTGAAAAAGAGCAAGGTAACTATGGGTGGAAGTGGAGGGCTGGCTTTAGATAAGATACAGAATGCTGCTTCTATTGTATTGAAGGGAAGGGAAGGAAAAGTGGGTTTCATAATGTGATTGCAGCTTTGAGGTTGTATCTGGTTTCTTCTGTTTCCTCACAGAAGAAAAAGATGAGGGCATGATCAGCTGAGAGTGAGGAAGAGGGATTGGTGGCATTTTGTAGTGAAAAACGATTTAATTGGCAGGGCAGTAAGACTGACACACAGTATGATAGTACAGAAAAGTTAAATGTTTGCTAAACTATTATAATGATCTTAGTTTTTAGTGAAAAGTAAATTTTCCAATATCCATTTTATTTCTTTCAGACCCAGTGAGAATATGCTGATTCGTGTCAATAATGATGGAACTTACTGTGCAAATTGGACTCCGGGGGCAATTGGACTGTACACTATTCATGTTACCATTGATGGCATTGAAATAGGTATATTTATCAAGAACTAGAATCAAAACCATCCATCTTTTCTAATGTTGCTTCTTGGCCTTTGTCATATACATGGATAGGTTTCATATTGCTTCTTTTTCCTCCTTCATAATGAGTATATAATTAGTGCATTCCTTCAGTCTTAATATTTGTAATAATGTATGGTATCTACCCAGACATTATAGCCTTCATGACTTCTTCCCTCCTTTCCCTAATGTAACTGTTCAGATTTGTCCTCCCTACTGCCGTATTATACTGTATACTCTGTATCCCCCTCATGACATATTGATCTCCCTCTCTTGACTGTGAGCAGAGGTCATATCATCCATCTGTGGTTCTGCCACTCTATATTTATGCCTGGCATATAATGGCTTCTCAGTAAATATACTGAGTGCTTAAACTTCCTTTGCCATTAACTTGAAAGAGCAAATTGATTTTCTTTGGGGCATTAGTCTTTATTTTTAAACTCTATATCTAATAAGAGTAAAACTAAATATAATATTTTCAATATGCATTCCTTATAGATTTGGAAAACCTAGTCTATTCTGATCTTGCCTTGGGTATTTATGCAGTCTATTAACATATTAGAGATTCTGAAAAGCTCTGAAGAATCTGCGTTTGTTTAAAACTTACGGGACCTCTTGCCTATGGAAAAGAGGATAATAGGGTAGAGACAGTAGTATTCATGGGTTCCACTCTGGATTCAACCAGTTGTGCACCAGAAGTGCTCAGAAAAAATTGCATCTGTGCTGAATACGTACAGATTTTTAATTGTCATTATTCTTTAAGCAATACAAAAACTATTTTATTACCTTTACATTGAATTAGATATTATAGTAATCTAGAAATAATTTGAAATAAGTACTAGCAAAATTGCAGTGGGTAGGTAGAGTTTTTTGATTGTCTTAGAGTAAAAGAAACATTTGGTTTTTAGAAAAAAATCTGAAGATTCATATGTACTTAGAATCATACATTTTATTCCCTATTCAACCTCTAATCTTCTTTCTAACTCAGGTGTCTCCCAAACTGTCATAGACTGAAACCTTGCTTTAGTAGAGAGGACAATTCATTAGTCTAACAATGATAGTAAAAGTTAAGATACATCAATAAGGGTTTTGTCGATTTAAGATTTATTAAATATTTAATATATGCACATTTTTCTGCCTACACCACACAGTTTCAGTCATTTATTTAGGTCTCAATAGTGTATTGAAGAAGATGTTATTACTGTTCCTAGTTCATAGACAAGAATGTTAGATATAGAGCCGTGCAATACTGGCAGATATAAGAACATCCAAGCATGTAGCACAAGAACTTAGCTTTTAACCACTGTGCTGCATTATACTGCCTGCTGATCTGTCATTCGGTCATGTGTGCTGGGCGGCTTGTCAGTATTACAGGTAATTTTGGTATAGGTAATGAATGGTCCTGTGATCTTGATGCTGAAAGATAATATTTAATATCAAAGATTTCTCTTTTATTATATTTTTGAATTTTTTCAGTATTATTTCATATGTCCCAGCTAAAGAGTGAGAAGCCCCTCTTTTGCTAAAAACCCTGAGAAAAACCTAGTAACTTGCCTTTTTGACTCTCAGGAGCAGTTTTCAAATATTTTTCTTTTACCCTTTTTAAGTACCAATGACTTTAAAAGGACAGAATTCAGATATTTGTTTTAAATATTTAAAATAGCCTGTATATAAAGCTAAATTTAAAGATCTTCACGGTGGTTTCATCAAATGTTACAGTTTGCTTTTCTTACAGATGCTGGCCTTGAAGTAAAGGTAAAAGACCCACCAAAAGGGATGATTCCACCAGGAACTCAGCTGGTCAAGTCAAAGGCTGAACCTCAACCAAATAAGGTTAGAATGAAATCAGAAACCAAATCAATCAAAGATTTTTAACTCTTTCATTGATGTTTCAAAAGAGTTATCAAGCATCTCATAATTTAAACTTAACTGATTTCAGAATTTAAGTTCTGAATATCACTAAGTAAGTTTAGAGAGTATTTCATAGTAATTTTAACATTTAAAATTATAGACATAGTACTTTTTAGTTTCTTTGTCTAATGCTGTAATAATTTATGGGTGTTAAATAATTTCTGTTTTTGAAAGTTTACAGTCAACATGATATCTGCCAAAATTAAGTGTAAGGTTTACAAGATTAAGTGTCTATGCTGTTCAATTTCCTGGCATGTAGCTAGTCTGTGTAGGAATTTTGGTAAACTGCTTGCTAAAAGGAAATACTAGTAATGGAATTTATGTCATACATTGAGGGGGCAGAAATCAAACTCAGGACCTTGTGCTTGCTATGCAGGCGTTTTGCCATGGAGCTATATCCCCGGCCACTATGTCATACATTTTTAAAAGGCACCTTCTATCCTTTTTGTCATATGTTCACAGATTTACAAAGGAAATGATAAATATATTAATAATTTTCTACAACTTTCTAATAAGGTATATTTCAATACTTAGAAAAGTTCTTTTTATATTTTTGTTATAAATTTACTGTTCTTTGCTGAGAAAAGCAAACTATAAATAACTTCAGAAATTTTCAGAATTATAGTATTACAAGTTGTTTAATTTTATTTCTTCCTATTCATGAAATCTCTAGTCCACATTTTTCTGTTCTTACTGTATATCCTTTGCCTTTCTCAGGTTCGAAAATTTGTGGCCAAGGACAGTGCAGGGCTCCGTATCCGGAGCCATCCGTCCCTTCAGAGTGAGCAGATTGGCATAGTAAAGGTCAATGGAACGATCACTTTTATTGATGAGGTAATTCATAAGGAAGCTCTTGATAAATAAACGGACAGAAATTTTCTACATTTTTTGCACAATAATAAATTACTAAGGTTTCTCTTAGAATTTGTTTTAAGCAGCTTGAGGAATTTTCCACAAAAATTTTTTATAATGCTCTGAGTTTCAGATATTTCAATTGTTTTCCTTTATCCATATAAACATAACTAAAATTTTACTTTGAACATAAAACATCTTAAATATCAGTAACCAGAATTTGTATAAGTAATCACTGAAAATGGTGAATTGTTCTTCATGATTTTTTAAAATACTGTTTTTAAATATATTTCTTGTGTTGCCTTAACTAAGAATAGTGCAGAGTACCCTTTTTCGTAATATAGCCAAGTAGCCTCTGATTGTTTGATCTAAATTTCAAGGAAGGAAAATTTGTATTTTGGGGGGAAAAATCTGATTTACTGTATAAGCTTTTATTTTGTGTGCTTTTGTTCCTATTAAAATTGTTTTTTCAATCTCTGTGAATTATCACATTGATTAAGCATTTGTTGCTGCTTTTTTCCCATTTTTATCATTATTTTCCTGCTTTGTAAACTTTTGGCTGCTGCTAGCCCCGTAGGAATTACAGGAGGGCATGGCTTGTTTTTGTTGCTTCTTTCCCTAGATCCACAATGACGATGGTGTGTGGCTGAGACTGAATGATGAGACAATAAAGAAGTATGTGCCTAACATGAATGGTTATACCGAAGCATGGTGCCTCTCTTTTAATCAGCATCTTGGCAAGAGCCTTCTGGTGCCTGTTGACGTAAGTAAAAGGTGGTTTCAGAAAACACCTTAGGTATACTCTTTTTCATTACAGGGCTTTCTTTAATTAAGGCTTTTCAGTTCTGAGGTAACCCACAACTGTGTAACTTCTACTTTATAAGTTCTTGAAGTCTTAAAGACTTCTCATAATAAAAATAGAATTTGGCTAAGTGAAAGTCCTTAATGCTTATTTTGATCCATTACTGACAGAAAGAAGTAAATTCAGCCTACTGAATAACTTTGAAAGAGATAGGGAATGAGATTGGTTGTGATTTTTTTTTTTTTGGTCCTTTTTTATTCACATTACTATTTGGAATGAATTTCAAACTAAAATTTAAGAATTCAGAATTATCATACATAAATTACAAACATAAATATAAAGGTTTGTATATTAGGTTGGCATTTTGTAATTCTGTGTCATGTCTAAGTTTCAATCTGTTCTTCATTGGCTTAGATTACTGTGTAACTTATGAGGAATTTTTAGACTTGTAGTGCTTCATAATATTCTAGTTAAAGGTAAATCCTGGACTCTAAGAGAACTCATTCAGCCTTTTTGATAAATTCAGTAGGATGGTTAAAGTCAGTGTTTGTAAGATCACTGTATCGTGTTAATCTACACCTCTATTTACAGTTTACCCAGAAAATATGATTTTTCTTCCTTTCCCTTACCATCAAATGTGTGTGCTCCCTATGGCACTACTAATAAAGAGCAGTAGGAAATTTTTATTTAGTAAAAGATCTTAGTATATAAATAGTTCAATATGTAAAGTTAGGTTATTATGTCAAGCTATTCCATATATTTGTTTTTCTCCTTTACAGTACAGAATAATGTTTTCCAAGGCACTGGTTGGTTATATGAAAAGATTTTTTTTGCTAAGAAAATACTAAAATTTTATGTTCTGTGACCATATCTTACACTCGCACCTGGAAAAATGTATATTACTAATAGATGTGTAATAAAGAGAGTTTGGAGTATTGGACTACTGCTTTACTTAGGTTAGGCTGAACAGTGACACATATATAATTAAAATACTATATTTTAATTAAATCTTATCACATATTTTTCTTGGATTATCTGTAGTTAAAAATCAAAATGATACTCAGTCTCTGGAAAAGAGTGAAAAACTGTGGAAAAGAAATAATACTTCTTTATCATCAAAACTAAAAAGTTGACCTGATATGGTTAGAAATCATTTTCTATTATTTTCATTAGATATCCTTCAGGATTACAAAAAGAGTATTTTAAATGAGAAACTATAACAATCATTTGTACAAATTTTTTAAAATTTTGGCTGATTTAGACATTTGTGGTTTTTTAAGAAAATGATCTTAAATTGCTAGTGTAGCAGTTTGCTAGAGTACATTATCTCTCTCCACCTTTTCTACTCCAAACTTTTCTTTCTCATTCATTTGTTTGAACATTTGAGATGTTTTGAAAGAGGGAAATATCACAAAGATAAAGAAAATACTCACATAGATAAGCGAGAAAATAAAGATAGAAAAGTAGAGCAAAAAGTGCTTTATGTTGAAGTTCTAGATCCTGATTTCCTTTTCGAATGTTGTTATTCTATTACTTGACACTTTTAAGCCCCATCCAAAATACAGTTTGTAGTAGACACTCCCCTTAAAGTCAGGGAGAAGAGTGGAGTAAGCCATGCAAGAAATTGCTAATAGTTTACACTGGAATGTAAATTTGGATGTCCTAGACTTACTTGAAAAATCTAGATGCAAAATATTGAAGAAAGTAAAATAAAGTACTTTGGGTATCTTCTGGCTTTTTTTTAATGTTGAGGAATGCCATGAGTTGTGCTTTAATGTTAATAGCTCAGTGTGTAGTATCATCAGGAAGGATAAGATTTTTCTGGTTCTTTTTTAAGGGTAGTAGTGACTTGAGATCCTTATAGGTTAAGAAGAGAAGCAGCAGTGGAATTGGGAGAAATTAAAAATGTCGATGAGAATACTGGAAAAAAAAATGGAAGAATGGGGAGTTAAGGAAACATTTTAAAGGTTATTTTTGTGAAGTAGGAGGGAATGTATATATGGCAGTAGATAAATTGAGAGTGAGAGGAAGGAAGACGGAGGGAGGGAATAGGTTACGGGAGACCATAGTTTTCTTTAGGAAGAAAAGGAAAGCCAGCAGTTAAAAATGAGATGAGTTAAAATTAGAGGATTTAGAAGTACAGAGAAGATTTTAAATAGTGTTTGAGAGAAACCAGAGAGGAATCTGACTAAAATCAAGTAAAGGATTATTCGGCGACAAAGAGTAAGGAACCTACTGTATGGACCCAATCTAGACACCCCGTCCCCTCCCCCATATTGGTAAGTGTCCAGAATTGCAGGGCCTGAAAAGCAAGTCATAGTATTGGTTAGAATACTCTGGCTTCTGTGATAGAAGAGTAGGAGTAAATGATTCCTGATACTAATGATAGCTAAGCATGTGTAGAATCCAGCCTAATTTAGAATATGAAAGGACAAAATGGAGGATCCAAAGGCCTTGGAAGGCTTAACTCCTAGAACAGTATAGAAAGTGTCCTATATTTAAAGAACTGGAAGGATGTAAATAGTTCACATGATAAAATAGGTTTAAATGTGATTTCATAGATAGAACAGGTTAATAAGATGCTCCATTATGTTGTAATGGAAGAGTAGCTGAAGTACAACACAAGTGAATGTCACTGGAATTGCCTAAGTCTTGGGACTAAGAGGCTACTGATGAAAGGTTATCCACAGGGACATCAAAACACAGATGATGGCAGTATTGTGACCTGCAGTATTAAAGATGAAAGTGAATGTATTTACCATTGGAGGAAGGATCAGGGAAAACCATAGAGTGATTTTGGTATAAAACAATGAGCGAACTTGTGGGTGATATAAAGCTTAACATTTTGGGTGATGATCAAAGATGACAGAGTGGGTGTAGTGTGGCAAAATTAACTGGCATAACAGATCTCCAGATGGATCTGCTATGAAGCTGCTTCACTACAGGTGTTAGATGAGGACCCATGTGGAGGCCTGGCTCAGGCGGGAACAGGCTTGTTTCCCAAGGTTTTTCTTTAGGGACTAGGACATGCTCTTCACAGTGTCAGTACATTTGTAATGATTACTCTGCAGGGCTAAACATAGGATATAAAGAGAATAATGATTCCATCTCATCCCCTCAAAGAAATAAACAGCTAAATAATTGTATCTTACTATCTCCTTTTTTTTTTTTTTTTTTTTTTTACTACCTCTTCTTTTAAATATCTATGATATTACTGCTGGAAAATAATTTCCATGTAGTCTCCCTCCTTAGTCCATTTGTGACTAAATAATAATCATGGTTGCTAATATACAGTGCTTCAATACAAAAATACAATGTGTACCTTGTGTGGGTTCTCACTCAAAACTATAAAGGAGAGTAGGGGAGGCCACTGGAAAATTGAACAGTGCTGAATATTTGGTGAATTATTTTAAAAGTTATCATAAACCAGTTTAGAGTGAGTTGTAAAGTGATTTTTATAGTTTTGTTTACTGTATTTTAGAACTCTTGTTTTCATTATACATAGCTATTTTAGCTAAATTTTGGCCTGCCTACTAACAATAGTCCTATTTAAACACGGTTACTTAACAAAGAAAGATTAGTGCCCTACTTTAGTTCAAATGTAACTTTAACTTTTTAGCACTTGGTGATGCTCTCCAGATTAAATGACGTTAGACATTCATGTTAGGGCTTTCCAAAAGCATTCACATTATGGGAATAGGGCTAAATAGATAAAAGATGTAGATCCAATGTGAGGCATTCGTTGTCTGTTAAAACTTTTCCCCTTTTTAGAACACACTTTGTAGTTTTATATCTTTTGTTTCATTTATCTAGAATTCATTTGCTTCTATTTTTTCTAATGTTTTTGCAGTTAATTTTCTTCTTTGTCCTTTCCAGTAACACTATAGTCTTTAATTTATTAATTGCTCATTCAACAAATATTTACTCTCCTTTTTGTATATCGCACACTAAGCTGGGAAGTAGGTGTTGGGTGGAGAGGCATCAGGGTGAGATTTAAAGTAAGTTGAAGTACTGTTCTTGCTGTTGGTGCCCTCACCACATGTGGTGAACATGCTGTATTCACTCACCTACAGTATTGTGAGGAAGGTGTGGAACACTTAACTTAGGAAGTAACATTTGAGGTGGACTTTGAAGAAAAATTGCCAGGGAAAAGAAGAAAATTCTAGACACAAAATCAAATGTCTGTGGTTGGGACGGTATGCTGTGTGTGGGAACTAATGAATAACTGATATGGATGAAGCAAAGAATTTGTGGTAAAAGCAGATATAGTAACTTACATTGTTTCCCTTTCCAAATAATAGTCTGTAGGAGTAGAAAACATTTACATTTTTCTCTAGCTAACTCTGATGCTTAGTTTGTTCTATCACATTCAGCACTCTTGTATTTATATATCTTTTATTTATATATATCTTAAGGTAAGGAGTATTAATGATCCCTTCTTACTCCAGTTTAATTTTTCCAAAGTATTAGATATTTTACTGAACTGACAGTATTCTTCCAGTATGTGTTGATAACCTAATTTGAGTTTTTTTCATTTGCTATCATGCTGCATAAGATAATTCCTAACAGATATACAGTATGCTCCTTACTATGATTGTCTTATTTAAATCTCCAAGTGACCCTGCAGTATTAAGTGTATTATCACTACTTTTTCAGTGAAGAAAAATAACTACTCACCTAACATCACAAATACATGTAATAGAGCTGATACTGAAACCCAATTTAATGTGATTTTAGGTGGTGCGCCACTAAAGGATTGTGTGTGTGTGTGTGTGTGTGTGTGTGTTTGTGTGTGTGTATGAGTACCAGGAATCAAACTCAGGACCTCATGCTTGCCAGGCAGGTGCTACACCGCTGAGCTATCTCCCCAGCCCCTTGATGTGATTTCAAAGTTCATGTCTTTATGTTCAGTATTCCTCAGTTTAGTGGAAAAGGATAAATATAGTTACAAAAGGATAAAGTGAATATCACAGTAAAAATCTTATTACTATAGCTAGAATTAATGAATATACATACAAATATGAATACTTGTAACCTTGATGATTGAATGAGGATAAACCCTATAACATGTTTTGAAGGTAAATGAATTAGTCTGAGAAAGTATACTGGGGAATGTTGATTTTAAATTAGAATTCTAGTGATTTGGAAACTGCTAGAATGTTTCATACATCTTGGAAAATACAAGTAAAAAAGCAAAAGATCCAATTATATTGAAATTTTTCAACACAGTGAGTGGAGTTTAGTGAAAGAGAAAGTATATCAAGGAATGCTACTGATACTTAAGCAGCAGTGTTCTATGATGTCCATACCTGAATCCTTGTAGCAGCAACTTGGGTCTCTGATAAGCTTCTTGCATTTATACAAATCACTTCCAGTTTGGGCTGACAGGTGTTCTCATATAGAAAGCATGTTGATACTCTTGAAATAGGGGCATTAATGATTTGGAGTAGAAATGAAGGGAAAGTCTTGTTTTGTGGTCTGTCTTAACAGTATCACTGAGATAACTGGTAAAATTAGCAAGCATTTCTTCCATTATGTAACTAATTTCAGTCTTTTGAAACACCTATTATTACTGGTAGCTTTAGCTTTACCATCTGCCAATTTTCCTGGTTTGTGCATTCATAACTTGTTTGTACTCTTCATGTGTTTATTTAATACAGCACTAACCTCATTTCATTCTTCAATGTTGTTTTCTTAAACAATGAGATAAATAAGCAGTTAAAATAATACTATAATAATTTATATGTATGCCATGTAACTTTTAGCTCTATGCTAATCCAGCAGAGTGAAATAATTTTTTTTTTATTTTGCATGAGCATTTGATGATGATTTTCTCTGTGGTAATTACTAATTTGTTTGGTGCCTTTTATGCCATGAAAAAATAACAACGTAGAAGTGCAGTTTGGTGCTGATCAGTTTAGTTAGGTTTCTAGTATATTTTAATTTTCTGATTTGTCTTGACAGAATTTTTCTGCCTTTGATACAGAATTTGAGAAACATTATTTAAATGATTGTGTTTATACATGTCTGGGTGTCGTGCCATTAATCTATGAAATTATATAAAATCTAATTTATATATAAATAAGTGAGAAGTTTACTTCAGAGAAATTAGTATTTGCATATATGTGCATGTCATCAGATTAAAGTATACCTAAATTTTCAAAAGAAAATTACTCAAATACATTAAACTCTGCCTTTTCATTTGGTGAATTTTTAATACTTGATAAGTGGACAGAGAGTTTTCTACAGCTATGGAAACTGAAGCAAAAAAATGCCAAATTTGAATTCACATGTAATTAACATAAACAGAATTGATTATGTTGGCAATTTAATACCATGGTTAATAGTTACATCACTTTCAAGTATCACTGTGCATGTTATTGACTTAGAAAACACCTAAGTTTGCATACTGAAATTAAAGAGAGGTATAAGCTTTACTGTCCTTAGGTCACCACATTGCTTCTTTACCTCAATTCATATGCATTAACAAATGCTTTTCATGTTGCTTTTAATTCTAGAATAATTTATGCTCAAAGTAGAAAGTGTTTTTAAAAATCGTGATATTGTTTTATGTCAAAAGGTCTGCACCACTATTCTCTGTGAGGAACAGCATCATTGAGCACATACTCTAAAAATTCTTATGTACCTGGATGAACCTGTAAGGAGATTAACCCCCACCAAAAAACAGCGTTTCGTGCTTTTTGCAGTATACTTTCAATTTACCTAAAGAGACAGGACCCTATCTGCTTTCTGTTTTAAAATGAGAGAAGAGGATTGGTATTGGTTTCAGTTTTATATTTATTTGTAGGCATATTAACTAGAAACTTATTTTTTGATTTATATGTTTTGTATTTATATGTATGCATATATTGGTTCATATCTATATTCTTCCATATACACATATACATAAGCAAAATAAAGAAGTAGAACATAGTAACTATATTCTTGCCTAAAATGGGATTGAATTGTTCAGTACTTCTGATGTTCCTTTCATATTAAATCTTACATGATGATAGTTTTAATATTTTGCATATTTTTTTGTCCAAAATAACACTTATTGCATTAAAATTGTGCAGTTGCTGCTCACTAAAGATTTTAATCTCAGATCAGAAAAATACAGATTGATAGCACAGTACAACTATAAGAATGTGTATCAGGGCTGGGGATTTAGCTCAAAGGCAAAGCGCCTGCCTGGCAAGCAAGAGGTTGTGAGTTCAGTTCCCAGTACCAGAGAAAAACCAAAAAAAAAAAAAAAAAAAAAGATGTGTATCATTTAAATTGTTAATAAGACATTTTGTGATTTTTTTTTTTCTGGGAACACCTTTGTTTAGAATTGATTTTTCTTTTACAAAATATTTTTAGACTTCAACATAGATGTCCTCAGTGCTCCATGCATTTTCTTATCTTATAGATGGGGGAAAATAGACCTGTCTTGATAAAAAAGTATATAGTGTTTCATTCTTTATGTTTTGCTTATACCTTTCAGAAACATTTCCAAGTGAATTTTTTTTTTCTATTTATAGAAGGGAGGAAAATTGAAAAGTTACTCAGGCTTTTTGTGCGATGTTTTTTTGTATGTTAAAGCAGATAAGTAGTTCATGTATAATACATGCCATTACACTTTATAATAGTTGCATTTTCTGTACAATATTCATCATTTATTCTTTCTAAAATAGCAGACTGTTTTCTGTCATAAAATAAATCTGGCTTGCTTTAGAATACATACATCCTTACTGAAGGAGTTTTAAGGTTTCCTTTTTGAATTGACGTTGTATGTATTAAGACAATGTCTGGCTCTTAATTTTAGTAAATGGCATGACACACTATATCCTTGGACAGCTTTTGACAAAAGCTTATTTTTCAGAATTTCGTTGGTGTTTGTTTACTCAGGTGGCTTCGGTCTCCCATTTAGTAAAATAATATTTTCGTGTTGGTGCTAGAGTACAGAAAAATGTTGTTACTATGAACGCATCTTCTGCAGATGATATCCTGTTCCCATTCTTTGTTGATATTTTTCTTTCTTAAACTTTGTCACTCAGAATATCTTTAATGCTAGCCAAGGAGTCAGGGATTTGGACGTATTTTCATGGACTTCCAAAGCTTTTTTCCCCCAGGTGAGTTAATTGTAAGGAGCAAACATACATTACTCAGGTATTTCAGCATGTACAACAAATTTTACATTCTATTTTTGAAGCTTTTGCTTGGGATTAATAAAATATTTTTTCCAAAAAGAAATTTATATGAAGTGCTACAATTGAGTTTTCCTTCTATTTTTGCCAGAGAATATATATTAGTTTAAGTAAATGTTTTACATGACTTCAGTGTTGCTATATTTAGTTTTATGACTAGCTTCTCCAGTAATTACATCTGAGTTTAGCTTTTTCAGAGCTAATTCATTTTGATGCTAGTGTTACAGATCTTCTAGGGTTTTTTACTGCCTACTCTTTCACAATGCCTTTTTGAATATTTATCTGAGAATGGGATGGAGGTGGAAGGAGAAAAAATAATACTGAAATTTACCAATTTGGTATACTGATGCCCAGGTCTCATGTTTCTGTATTGAATAAAACTATATTTTAGGATTGCTTGAGAGAAACAGGAGGGTCAGGGATGTAGCTCAGCGGCACAGCGCCTGCCTGGCAAGCGCATTGTCCTGAGATGGATTCCCAGTACCAAACAAAGAAACAAAAAAAACAACTGGAATAGTTGTATGATTTTATGTCTATCAGCTGTTTTTATACTGTTTAATAGAACAGTATATATTTTTATAACAGAAAATGAACTATTTATGTAACATCATTAATTTTTCAGTATATTACTAACTACTTTAATAAAGTTCTCATATTGTGCCTTTCAATGAATAGTTTGTAATCATTTAGTTTTGCCAAAATTTATCTCTCAGTGTTACCCTAAATGACCACAACTTAGATTTGTTAAAACTAAATGCTCTAGGAATATCATTAAATGCCCATAAAGTTGTTTAGTTAAATTTATTTATATTTACTGTTATTTTTTATGTCACCATGTTATTTTGAAAACCCGTTGTAAATAGTACTAAACTTGCCTTTTTAACCATGAAATGGCATGATATGATTACTGAAGTTGACCATTCACAAATAGAAATTTTTAAATGTTTACTAAAAACATTGTGAGCATATTAGCAATATTTTAAAGTTTAGATCTTACATTCAACTTTTATTTTGGTTTCTGTGTATTCATATAATTGTGTATTCATACAGATTTTTACAAATATACATACATGAGCATATGAAATGCATATTTTAAATTTATTTTTAGTTATAAATCTAGTCTGATTTTCAGGTTACTAAAATTCTCACTTTAATAAATTGCCAATATAAAGAACATTGGTTCATATGTTATAGTAATTAAAGTATACATTGCCTATAGTAAATATTTATATAGGTAAAAATGTAATTATATATTAACCAAATTGAGATTTACAAAATATCATGTGAAGGTTAATAATAGGTTTTAAAATTTTCCTTGACTAACCATATGTTGAATTAACAAAGCACATAAGAATTACTGAATCCAATTGTTTTTTTCCTATCTTGGAGATTGAACCCCAGACCTTTCTTATTTTTTATATCCCTAGCCTTTTTTTATTTTGAGACTGGGCCTTGTTAAGTTGCAAAATTACTCAGGCTGGGCTCGAACTTGTCATTTTTCTGCCTCAGCCTCCTAGAGTGCTGGGGTTACAGATGTGTGCCACTATGCCCAGTTGAATCTGCATATTTTTAGCCTCAGAATTGTATTTTTAATATATTACTATATATATATATGTATGTGTGTGTATATATATTTTTATACATATATGTGTTACTATGAGGCTACTTTAAAGGTTAGATATTCAGTGAAATTTTACCTTGTGTTTTTTCATAACATTAAATATTAATTTTAAAATACTAATTTTTATGACTGTTCCATTATGGTTTTCTTTTATTCTACTTGAATATATTTCTCAAAGTCCTTATTACTGTATTGAAAACTGCAGTTTAAAATGTGTTTAAAGGTTTAATAATGACAGTGAAAGAATACTCAATGTAGAATATGTATTTAAATTTAGTAGGGAAAAACAAAGTACATCATGGTTGAATTTTTGCAAGGAAACAATTCATCACAACATTCAGATTCAACAAAAAATATAGAACAAGAAGATTTTAGAAGTGACTCTTTTCAATAATATAAGTTCATTTGAATATTACTTACTTAAAAATGCATTTTTGGTGCTAAACTCTCCTCTACAAAACTGTTTATTTTCTCTCTACAAAACTCTGTTTATTTTCTCTGTTTATTTTCTCTCTACAAAACTGTTTATTTTCTTATTAATGTTTCACTGTATGTGGCCTAGCAAATATAAAAATACATTTCCATATTTAGTATATTAAGAAAGTGTGAGTTGTTAAAATCTTGTAAACATTCTTATTTTATGCATGTTTTTATCATCATCTCTGCTCATAGACAAGTCTCTAGAGTCTTCCTATCCATCTTTTATTTATAATTATTTCAAAGGGAGAAGAAACTAATATTTAAATATTTTGTGCATATCAACTTACAATAATGTAAAAATGACTCAGAACTATTCAATTGTGGTTCATACAGTAAATTACTTTTATTCTTTTAAATATTACACAAAGACAAAAAGGAAAATCAAGGACTGCAGTACTGTATTTCTCAGATGGTGATGAGTAAAAGCCAGAGATTTCATGCCTGTTCTACTATATTTTCTCCACTTCAGATTTATTTTGGATCATTCATGGTTGAAAAACTGAAAGATTATTTCACAGTGGTATTGACTAATACTTCACTTGTCTTTAGACACATATTCTTTTAACTGTCATTATTGTAGACTTATTATGAAAGCTATTAATAGGAGGATTTTTCAAGTGATAATAGTTTGTATTTTGTTCATTTTTTTCCTATTCAAATTTTCAGGAACCTAAAACTAATACTGATGACTTTTTCAAAGACATAAACTGCTGCACACAGGAAGCAACAATGCAAGAACAAGATATGCCATTCTTCCGAGGAGGGCCAGGCATGTACAAGGTAGTGAAGACGGGACCTTCAGGTCACAACATCAGAAGCTGCCCTAACCTTAGAGGTATCCCAATTGGAATGTTAGTTCTGGGAAACAAAGTCAAAGCAGTAGGAGAGGTATGGATTCTTGTAGCTTCCTGACTTCTAAGATATTAGTTTTTATTAACATAATATAACCCAAGTATCTCTTCCTTCCAAAGGTTGTCATTTCCATCCAGGTTTTTAAATGTTAACATTCTTGATCTTTACTTGTATTGCAAATACTAACATAATTTTTCTGTGCTTCTCTTCTAATACTTTTATTTTCATAAGTATATTGTGAAAACTATATTAACAAATGATTTGTATTGTATATATAAATGTGTGGTATTTGCATGTTTATTTTTGCTGTTACAAATGTACTACATTGTTACACATTACCAGCACTAAAAATGTTTTGTGTGAATTGGTTTGAGATGTTCTTGTATCCAAAAGGTTTCATTTCATTGTTCCCCTTCACAATCCTCACTGAAGTCCTGAGCAAATAAAATTATTCTTTAGGCCACAGTGGCATTTGCCTCGGCTGATAAGCTTAAAGATGTAGTGTGTCATGCTATTTCTCAGTGTCAGGGTTATTTTCAAAATAAACTATACTGTCAACCTAAATACCAAGTGTGCTGTGTTAGGACATTTCAGATCCAAAAAAATGAGCCTCATGTTTTGGGTAACACTTCGAATTATTTACCTTTTTAAAAAATACTATTTTAACCGAAGGTTTAAATAAGCCTTATTGATTTCTGTTTTACCTCAGTCTGTGGTCTTAATTTCAGAAACTAATCTCGTAGTAGAAAAGTTTTGGAATGATTATACTATTCAGAAACACTTAAAACTTTTTACTGCTTTTCAGCCTGAGTGCCCTGAAAGAATCAAGCCAATCAATCATGCTTTTTGTTATGTACCAGGTAACCAATTCTGAAGGTACATGGGTGCAGCTGGATAAGAACAGCATGGTAGAGTTCTGTGAGAGTGATGAAGGAGAGGCATGGTCCTTAGCTAGAGACAGAGGCGGAAACCAGTACCTCCGGCATGAAGATGGCAAGTTGGCTTAAATTTGTGATTTACTTTAATTAATCTTTGAAATACATAAGTTTAATGTTTGTTGTATTACTTTTGTGTTAGAGATGGTTTGTGTGTTTATTTTTTAAGTAAAAGTAAATCTAAGGGCTTAAAAATCTTACATCTATCAAAATTAGTTTGTAAAATAGCATGAGTACTAGATGAATGCCCATGAAAAAGTAAAAAGAAAATTGGAAACATAGGACTCCATCTTTATGAAAACATGCTTTTTATTTCTTTGACATGAATTTGTATGCCTCATTCTTCTGTATAAGTCTAGTACTGTATAAGTCTAGTACTGACCATTTCTACCACAAATTGAGCTTCAGTTTTCAATTCACCAATGGCAGTATTTCTCCCAGGCAGCATCATTTGATTGAATTTTGTCTCAGGGACTGGGCATTGAATAAATGCATAGTATCTTTTTGGTCTTTCCTATTTTGACTTTGAGCTTGCACTTGTTTTTTTCAACATTGGTCTAACTTAGTAAGATTTTTCTTTTTGTCCTTCTCTCTTTATTCTCCTGGTGGCAAAAATGTATTTTTCATACACCAGACAATGCCCTTACTTGTGTGAAGCTTTGAACCAAGTGCCAGTGTCAAGAATTCCCACTGTGTTCCTAAAGAACTGTGTTCAGCAGGAGAACAAAACTGATTGTATTATATTGAAATTCATGTATTTCTCTATAACCAGATTGTGAGTCCCTTGTGGACAGGCACAGGGTTTTTATCTTTGTATTCCTAGTTTTTCAACAGCTTGACACAAACTATCTAGTTACTTAAAAATTTTTATAAATATACAAGTTGAATTGTGGAAATAATATGATTTCATCCAGGCATGGTGGCATACATCTGTAATGCCAGCATTTGGAGGCTGAGGCAGGAAGATTGCTTTGAGTTCAAGGCCAGCCTGGGCTACATCGTGAGTACAATGCCAGCCTGAGCTATGGAGGGAGACCCTGTCTCATCCTCCCCCCAAAAAATATGATTTCAAATAAATCCTGTACATAAAGAAAGCATAGATTTTTTTTTTAACCAAATCCCATATTTATAGGATAAGGTCAGATAAATAAGAAAACATTATTTATCTGAAGTTAATAAACTTATACAATCATTTTATCCCAGAGGTAATATGTGATAAATATAAATATAAATATATTCAAAATTTTTCATGAATGACAGAGGACTTAGAGTTATATTAGCTCCCTTTTTTCTATATAGCAAGTCTTTATGATAATATATAATATAATCTACTTATAGGTAAGGAAAGTAAGCTCTTGACTTTAAAGTGACTTTCTTGTATTATATGTGACAGATATAAGCCTTTAGCTGGAATCATCTTTGGTATCTTAAATTATATACTCATTACACCATGGTGTATACTTAACACACTCTGAAAATGTAATTTATCATCTTATTTTTTACCAAATAAACATTTTTTAGGTAAGATGATATAGTTGTAAATTAATATAGTGAGATAAAACTATTGGCCTTCATATTTTGAAAAAGAAAATGCCTCTGTTTTATATAAATGAGGCATTTACAAAATGTTCTCATTTACTATTTACTTAGTATATATCACTACATTTACTATAAATTTTAAGCATTCTTTTATATAGGAATATTCAGATATAAATGAAAATACCTAATCATGCAGCTTTATAAAGGTTTGATATGAAGACTGAGAAAATTACACGTAAAATTACCATAGGGTAAATTTAGGTATTGGCAAAATGTAAAATACTTTCTATAGTAAGGAGCTGGAAATTTTGTTCTCACAGGCTTAGAAGGTAGGAGATTCTTTTAAGATAAAATGATCCTTAAATTAGAATAGTTTCTTGTGAGACATACATTGAACTTTAACAGAAACTTCAAATTTTAAGTTCCTTTTGTAATCCCTTCATTGTTACTGTTTGGATAGATATCTAAATAGAGAGAGACACACATATTTGGTCATAGGTCTTACTATTTTAACATAAATCCTGAGGTGCTAGAAAGAAGTGGTATGATGTTAGCACCTTAAAATCACTTGAGTAGTTGATGTGATATACAAATAGTCTGCTTATTGATTTAAGTATGTGTTTCTTATTTCTCATAAATATGTTACAGTAAATGTGTTTCCTATTTTCTTTATTTTTTATAAGTGTTTCTTATAAAAATAAGAGGATTTGGTAGTACGGTAATTTATATGAAGTATTGATAGTAAAACAAAAGCTTTCCTCAGGTAAATTCCTTTTTGACTTTTAATGTCAGTAGATAAAGCTTAGTGGGAAAAATTTTTATAATGATAAAAACATTTAGATGCTAGACCATTCTGAATCTAGAGGGGCAGGGCAATACAGTCTTTTCCACTTAGAGTACTGTTCCTGGATGTTTTTCAGAAGATGTGTTCCACTGCTGAAATACCTCATACTGAAGAATATTGCCTAAGGGTTATTTGTAAAAGTCTTTAAATGCTGATAAAGGGTAGACTACACAGAACCACTGGTATGGTAGAATTCCTTTACAGGTAGAAAGAAACATTTACCACATTCTTCTAGCTCCATTTTCTGTTTAAAGAGTAACTTTTTAAAACGACATATAAAACATTTATTTTAATGTTAGTTTAATGCAATAAGTCTTTTTGGTTTTACTACTTTTTATTTGACAGATTTTATGTTGCCCTTTTTAGCTTGCAGTAACATGCCTATTTAACTGTTACACTACGTTAGTGTTTTTAGTGTTATATCAGACAGAAGGTTAGGGATTAACTGACCTATTAGAGTCTGCATTGGCCATTGGTAAACTGGATCAAATACTTACCATTTCTTTCTTGAATTAATTCTGAATATTTCTTGACTTCAGGATATGTTGATAGACCAATTAAGTGACCTGGTTTATCATCCTTTAGGAAAAGTATATGTAATAAGTAAAAATAACTTAAAAGTTAAATTTTCTATAATTTTCACATTTATAATTTAATCAGTAATGGATACTTATATATTTTGAAGATACACAAAGTCACTTTCATTTTTGTTTTATAAGATATCCAATTTTCTTTTGGAAATATCCTGTATAAATTGCTTATAGTTCTAAGACTCAGTTGTCCAGAAGTATTAGTATGCATTCAATGATATATCTTACCACAAAGAAAGTAAATTGGCTCCCTACAAGCATATATACCATTTCTGCATTTCACCATGTATTTAGAAATGAAAATAAAGATTTGACATGTACTTTGCCACTGTTAAGCTGACCTCATTGGGATTTAGACTCATCAAATCAAAATGTGGTTACTTCTGAATCTAACAATTATAAAATCTTGTTTAGTTTTCTCTCTTTGTTATATAAATAGGGAACAACACATAAGAAACTAATGTTATAGCTATGGCTTTTATTATAGAACAAGTTCTTCTGGATCAAAATTCTCAAACTCCTCCTCCAAGCCCTTTCTCAGTGCAAACGTTTAATAAAGGGGCAAGTTGCAGTGCCCAGGGATTTGATTATGGCCTTGGAAATAATAAAGGTAAGTGTTTGAGAATAAGTGTTTGACTTATCTAACCTTGAGTATGTTTTGTTACTTTTACCTATTTATTCTTAATTGCCCACAAATCTTTATTAAATTTAAATTTGATATTAGGAAACTAGCACTCAAATGTTTAGAGAGGTATTCTTTTTTACAGTATTGTTTTTACAATTAGCTTTATTTTATGGGGGTTCTTTTTTTTCTGTGTTAAGGGCATTTTGAACTTATGTCCTAAAAGTTCTGTTATTACACCTATTATTTTTATCATACGTCTGTTATTAAGAGAATCATGCTAATGAGCAACAAAGAACTTTCTTAAATGATCCAGTTAAAACCAAAACACTACTTTTCAGTAAGATTTTAAAGTAATTTTACATCTAAGCTTTATTAAATATATGTTATTTAGAATATCTAATCTGATTAACATAGGTAATTTTGAATTATATGAAGTGTTATGTTAGAGTTTGATATATATATATAATGAAAACAGAAAGTTGTAAAAAGAAAAACAGAAACCCTAAGCTATTTGAATATAAAATATATATAGCTGTTTTGGATACATTAAAGAGAACAGCATCATGAACAGTTTGAACAATTATTTTTGAAATCTGTTTTTGAAATTTATCTAAAATTACATAGGTAAATTCAGACACATTCTTGTTCTTTTCTATGAATGTGATCCTGACTCCTTCAAAATTGGCCATACTGTCAGCAGTAAACACATAGCTCAATCATGGTTAGCAGGGAGAAAAGGTGGCCCATAACAAAATAATTCTAATTTAAAATTTTGTTTAAAGTAATTCACAGGACTTGGTTTGAATTAACAAACAAAATATGATCATGCCTGACTTGCAGAGAAATTGAAATTATTAAATACTCAAGAAATTACAAAATTGCATTAATGTATAAGAAACATTCAGCATGACGTAGAACTGCTTTCTGTTGGGTATTTTCATTATTTCATAAACTGTTTTTATGAAGGAAACTTAGCCACAAGATTTCGTATTGGCTCTCTTGATTTAGTCTGCCCTACAGGATTGGGAATTACCTGTTTGCTTGCTTCTAATGGCTCTGATTTCCATTACTTTAACTAGATTTTCCTACTTACATAGGGTAAATGCTTGGTGTTTTCTTCCTGTTCCTGTCTATTATTGTCAACTCTTGCATTCAAATCTCAGTGTTTACTTACTGCTGCTGTACTTCTATAATGATCTGTTTTAAAGCCATGTTTGGTTCAAATTGCATAGTTTCAATCTTGAAATGTATCAGTCATTATACAGATGACTGTCACATTAAGTCAGTCTTTAAAATACAACTTACTAAAATGTCATAAAATAAAATCGGTTTTAAAAGATATAAACTTAGGAGCTGGGGATTTAGCTCAGTGGCACAGCACCTGCCTGGCAAGCATGAGGTCCTGAGTTCGATTCCCGGTACTGGGGGTGGGGGGGAAGATATAAACTTTGCTGAGAATATTTGTTAAATAGAAGTGAAAAGCATTACTTTCTAAATTGTGATTTTTGTGACTATTCAAAAATAGCACCCACGGGTTAATAGGTTTTTAAACTATTTAGATGGACTAATAAACATTAAGAAACAAATTTGATGAAATATCTAACCTTTATTATTTTTAACAGACATTCTCAATTTCTTTAACTCTTTATAATACTTACATCAAGGAATTGTCTTGCAAAAATGTTTTCCTTAAAATAATACTTAAGAAAATACTTGATAACCTATAAAATCTCTTCTGTAATCTTTAGCATTGATTTGTTTAAAATGTGTAGCTTGTAAACACAGTTCTTTCCATATAAATATATCTCTTATTGGTATTCAAAAATTTTACTTATGAAACCTTATTTTATTTAGAAAACTTGACTGAAAGATACTGTTTCCAGTGTTTGTATCATCTAATTTGAACATGTGGATTTTCTTCTTCCTCCTGCATCACTGCAACTATTTAATGCACATGTTCTCACAAATAAGGAGTTCATATCTCTAAAAATGTTTTAACATCTTTGTATTGAAATTATAAGAAAATGTTAGAATTCACATTTGAGGTCCTATTCAAGTTAGGTGGCACATACTCATTTTTATTATAAAACTTAGAAATTTTTATATTATCCAGCTAGGTAAAAGAGTCCTTTTAAAAAAAAAGTAGGGTTTCTTTGGCAGTGATAACTTCAAATAAGAAAGCATTGATTTAAACCTTCATGTAAATATTGCTGAGTTAATAACGTATTCATTGTCCTCAGCAATTTTACATTTTAAAGAAAAATTACCTATACTGTTTATTTTCTTTGTGAAATATACTGCAGATGAGGCAGGGTATGTTAGTCATTGTTGAGTAACATGAACAAGACATCATTTACAGTATTTAGATCTTCATTTATGTATGTACAGTATTAAAACAACTTATAGATTGTTTATAGAGTCTTATTTCTCCCATAAACATGGGAACTGTATGTAGATTTAAATGCATTGTTTTTGTAGGAGGGTTGCAATATAAGATTTGCTAAAGTGCTTCCACAAAAAAAGAAAATCAGCATGCAGAATGCAAATTTGATCCCTAATTTGAGGATAATGATCCTAACTTCCATACATATCTGAATTGGCATGTTTTATTTAGTGTGTAACTGATCTGAATGTCATAAAGCACCATTTACTTTGCCATTTTGGATGTCACTGAGTAACAAGTTGTAGTTTTGACTGTTTTGCCCACTGCAGGTGACCAACTGAGTGCCATATTGAATTCCATTCAGTCACGGCCCAATCTCCCAGCTCCTTCCATCTTTGATCAAGCTGCAAAACCTCCCTCTTCCCTAGTCCACAGCCCATTTGTGTTCGGACAGCCCCTTTCCTTCCAGCAGCCTCAGCTTCAGAGTAAGTCTGTCAGCCTTACTTGCCTCATCAAGCATACCTGAAGCTTTGTTCTGAGTTATCAATCTAGTTATTGGCTCACCTGACTGGTTGAATTTAACAGGATGTTATCCTCCCATATTTTTGAAATACTTAAGCTGTCTGAGCTAAGATATTCTGCAGCTAAGACTTTTGATTTTAATCACACATTTTAAATTAAATATGGTTAGTAAAGTGATTTTTATGCTGCTTATTCTAATTCCACTATAAGTAAATACATACTGTCAAACATTAAGAAAAACATTTTTTATTTCAAGTTTTTTTAATGGATGATTATGGTAAGCATCAGTTATAGGGATAACTTTATTGCTTTACATTGAATTTTTGTTACTTTTATAGCTATAAAATCCAGGTTTTCAAATTTTCTCTGGTTGTCATTTCCTTTCTTCCTATTTTTTTGGTTATTCATAATACCTTTATACTGATCACTTGATTCCAGTTCTACCTTCTAGAATTGCTTTAGCCCTTTATCCATGATAACTCACCCTGGTTTAGGAAATAGACCCAAACGAGCTGCACTGAAACGAACGTTCTTTTCTCTTAATAATCTCTTAAAGTCTTCCACTTCAACATCCCAAAACAGTATGAGAGCAGTATGCTCCTGACATTCAGTTTTTATGTTGACTGCTGCATACACATTTAGAGAGAGTTGATAAAAGCCTCAGATTGTACACTCATTGTTTAAATTTAAATGCACAATCTCTTTGCTTTAATAAAGTATAATCACATTTATCTCTAAATTATTTTTCTCCAAAAGGCTATGATAACTTTTACTAGGGATACTTTAGAGAGTTTTGTTTGTAATCAGGGTAATATATAGTAAGCAGCTGGTGTTATTACTGTATTAATACTTTCCTGAGGAAAACAACATACCAAGGTATAAACTTTTCTAGATTTACACTGTTCATTAGACATGTTGAATTGATGTAATTAGTTTGGATAGATAAACACTATCAATTTCTAGCTTATCATTATGTGTATTCTTGTATAATATTAACTTGAATGTCTCTTAAGAGAGGAATTTCAAGGAAATGGACTAACTGACTTTCAGTGAAAGTTGTTTTCCTTCCATAGTAAGCATTATTTTATAGGAAATAAAAATGAAGACTTCGTTTATTAGTTTTATGGAACAACAGACTTTTTACATTTAAGTATACCCAAGTTGTAGGACGTTTTAAAGGTAAGAGCAAAGGAAAAAACAAAAGGGAAAAACATTATAGTCAGGCTGAAAATTCCTATTAGAAAATTCAAATTCATTCAGATTCAGTTTTTAACAAGAAATTGTTCTTTTAATGATGTCATAACACCAGACAAAGAGAGAAAGAGTAAAAACTTTTTGTTCTGCTTAAAAGGTCATTGCAATTATTCACAAAAACAAGTGTAACTACTCTTTTTATTTAACTAAATTTAATTAAGAAAGTACTTCAAAACAAAGATGAAGACAATAATTAGGTTGTTGATAGATTTCCAAATGACATTGTATCAATGTAATTTTACATATGTTTTATATGAATAAAATAATGTTAGTACTACCACTGCTTCCTTTTTCTCAGTCTCGAGCAAATTTGCAGTCATAGCCCAGATAGATCTCAGTGACCAGTTTTCTGAGTCATTCCTTTTCTATGCTCCAGCAGAACGTCACTGAAATTTGGCTTCCACATTTCAGGAAACCTAAGTCATAATCTAGTTAGTATAAAAATTATAGAATCTCAGCAATAGCTCTAACGTTTGGAAAATAATTTAGAATTATTTTCTTACATCACATTTAGAAAGGTCAGTGAGGCAGAATGATCATTGTTAAGATACCCTGACTAAGATATTCTCTCCCAGAACTTCACTTGCCATTCATCCCACCAGCATTTCACCTTACAACAGAGGCTGGCTTATGTATACTGAACTTTCTAGTACTAATTAATAAAATGAAGATCATTTTTTCTCAAATTTTGTGGACTTAAAAGCATTATGTGTAGATGACCATATTTACAAAATTTGTTTATACTAATAGTCACCACTACGTACTAAATACTTATATTTAAGTACTACTGACTACATGGGCCATGTTTTACTATTCAGCCTTGCCTAGATAATTAATGTCGTCTGTTCTTTAGCACATATCTTAAATTTCTGTTTATAGTTTTAACATCTAGAGTACTAGCTTTGTTCAGATTACTTTTCCTCTGTTTATAGTTTAACTTTTTTAAATGTTGCAGTAATTGGAATGAAAAAAATGTTAAATGTTATAACTCAAGTTCCCAATTAACTAGACAAATTCTACAGAGATACACAGAAGCTGCCCATATTTTAACTTTATCATTTCAGTGATCATTATTATTAGTAACTTTGGGGGTTTTTTCCCTTACAGCATAGTTTTTTTTTACTAATCTTTGGAATTTAAAATAATATGGCACATTAAAATAATTTGCTAATTCTTAAGTTAGCAAAATTATTTTATTCTACATATAAATTATTTTGTTACTGTAGTAAAGTAGGATAATTACAGAAGTAAAAGTTAGTGATTTTCTTTGTCCTGCTATGTATGTGAGTGCATGCATAGGATATGAGATAGCAAAGGGTGCATAGAGAATTTTTCTTTACTGTTCCATAGCTTTTTTTTTTTTTTTTTTT